CAGGACAGGGCAAGGTGTGCCAGGCTGGAGTCCTTGTGCTTTCTCCCAAGGGCCATGGGGAGCTGTTAAGAGCAGAATCTGATTATTGGGGACTAGCTATAGTTATAACTATAACAAATATACATATTTTAAATATACTTTTTATTGTTGATAGTGTTACAGATATCTCCCCTTCCCCATTCTTTTTTTATTATTAATTTCTTTATTATTTAAGGTATCACATATTTGTCCTCAACCCCCCATTCCAATCCTCCACCCCACCCCCTCTTGCCCCCACCCCCCTATTGTCCTTGACCACTGGTTAGGCTCATATGTGTGCACATAAGTCCTTTGGTTGATCTCTCCCTTTTATCCCCACCCTCCCTCTGAGGTCCAACAGTCTGACCCATGGCTCCTTATCTCTGGGTCTGTTCCTAACTATAACAAATATTAAATCATGCTCTGTTAAGCTCGGTTGTTTGGTTCTGATTACAGTAAGCACAGTTTAACCTGGCGAGGAGCAGCGTACCCCTGGGACCTGGGACAGTCAACTTTGGAATGCTGCCCATTCTCATTGGTGAACTACCTCTTACCATGGAAAGGTGAACCACCTTGTGGTCCAAACAATGAGTCCAACCCCCAGGCCGCATTGCCTACTTCCTGTGTCATGTTTGTCCTACCCGAGAGAAGCAGCTGGTTTATGGGGTACAGACCAGACTTTCGTGGGTGACCTGCTGCTCCCCCATACTGCCGGCATCGTCAGAATAAACACGCATATATATATATATATATGATTCAACCCTGTCTCTGCTTCATTGGCTCACATAGCGACAGGCAGCTGGGACCCGTGGCTATTTGGTTTCAGAGTGACAGAAGGCTGTGGACCAGAGCAGAGGGGGAGTGAGGGAGATCAAGAATATATACCTTTCAGCATAATGATTTTTGCTTGTCTCATTTTTTATTCTTTTTTTAAATTGAATTTAAAAAAGAATTTATAGGATACACAAATCATTTACACTCTGTATTTACAATTAAATACCAAAGAGCAATAACAAGTTCAGAATTCATTTTTGATTCTTATAAGTATATTTTCAGTAAGATATGATCTCACGCATCTGGGGGAAATGGTGAACAACACAGACTGATGAACAAGAACAGACCCAGAGATAAGGAGCCATGGGTCAGACTGTTGGACCTCAGAGGGAGGGTGGTGATAAAAGGGAGAGATCAACCAAAGGACTTATGTGCGCACATATGAGCCTAACCAGTGGTCGAGGACAATAGGGGGGTGGGGGTATGAGTGGGGGGAGGATTGGGATGGGGGTTGAGGACAAATATGTGATGCCTAAATTAATAAAGAAAAAAAAAAAAAAGAATGGATGGAAAGGTGTTCCATCGGCCAGCTGGTCTTCTCCTGACCTTTTTAGCTTCCAGCCCTCCCAGGAGGCTCACAGTCAGCACCCAGCGTGGACGAAGAGGGCTACCCGCTACCCTGACAAGCGCAGAGAAGGGGGGGCCTGGCCACCTTGCAAACTTAGAGACCTAGGTAACCACAAAGGATGGCCAGAAATGAAAACTTTTTTGCTAACTGAGAGCCGTTTAGGGTGGGCAGTCATGTCCTAAGGCAGTATTTTCCCTAACAAAGGTTCATCTTCACTGTCACTAAGCCTGTCTAAGGTGATTGTCTAATGAGCAGGCCTTTGCAGAAACAAAGCCATTTCCCTTTTCCCGGACCCCTCCACACACAGGCTCCGCCAGACCATGAACCCGTTCATAGTTTTTTTGTTTTGTTTTTTAAATATATTTTATTGATTTTTCACAGAAAGGAAGGGAGAGGAATAGAAAGCTAGAAACATCAATGAGAGAGAAACATTAACCAGTTGCCTCCTCCACACCCCCTACTGGGGATGTGCCCGCAACCAAGGTACATGCCCTTGACCAGAATGGAACCCGGGGACCTTTCAGTCCACAGGCTGACGCTCTATCCACTGAGCCAAACCGGTTTCAGCCGAACCCCTTCGCTGTTCCGGAGTTAATTGCTGACTGTTAGCTATAATGCACCCATCTAAGTAAAAGAAGTACTATCCAATCCCCAGGTCCCCCGCCACACCCTTTGCTAATCGATCACCAATAGATTTCACATAACCCACAAAGTCTCCTCCTTTGATTGCCATTCTCCGGAGCAATCCGTTGAGATTCTGCTTCCCAGCAATTGTCAGGTTTGGCTTAAATAAACTAAAAAAATTATTATTATTATTATTATTTATTTTTTTTTTTTTAAAAGGACTGCTTCACTAATTTGTATGTCATCCTTTCTCCGGGGCCATGCTAATCGTTGCCAGACGGTCCCGAGTTTAGTGTATGTGCTGCCAAAACGAGCACCAAGAGAATTCTTCAGTTTTGAATGTTTCTTACGTTAAAACCAGTATTAAATGTCCATTCGCCTTTCCTGGCGACTGTCTAACTTCTTTTTTTTTTTTTAAATATATATTTTATTTTTTTACAGAGAGGAAGAGAGAGGGATAGAGAGTTAGAAACATCGATGAGAGAGAAACATCAATCAGCTGCCTCCTGCACACCTCCTACTGAGGATGTGCCCACAACCAAGGTACATGTCCTTGACTGGAATCGAACCTGGGACCTTTCAGTTGCAGGCCCACGCTCTATCCACTGAGCCAAACCGGTTAGGGCTGTCTAACTTCTTTCCGGAGCTCTTTCACTGAGGAGTGCTCCCCTCCTGTGTGTTACATGTGTAGCAAACATGTCCCCCCATCTGTGATGGGATTTCAGCCCTGCTGACACCCAGGCGGCTCCCTGTCCAGTGTGTGAGGAAGGCGGTGCTCCATTTAAACTGCCCGTGGCCATGGGGTCCCTGCCCTGCTGGGTCCAAGGCGTGCCCTCTGGGGCCTGTGTGGGCTCAGGAAACCCTGTGTGACCTCATTCATCAGGGGTGCTCAAGAGGGTCCATTTTCCTGGGACACGGCCCAGCGGAAACAAGAGACCCCCCCTTAGCTGGGGCCTCACCTCTGCTTTTGACTGTGAGAAGCTCCAGAGCCACAGTCTGGCCCCTCCCTGCAGCCCCAACCGCTTCTGTTTTTCCAGGCTGCAGGCGCTCCGGGAGTGCTGAGTCGAGATTTCTTCATTCGCCACGTGCAGCTGCATTTCTGCTGTGTCATGGTTGGGAGGGAGGACTCCGGGAGCCGGGCGGATTTTGCTGAGTCACTGCTGCTTCCTCAGCCTCCCTGCGGTGGGTGAAAGGGCAGCTTTCCAGGCAGCAGGAGGAAGTGAAACTTCTAGAAAAGGACAAAAGATTCCTGTTTGTCACTTTGTTTGCAAAGCCCCTGTCCATATATCGCAACATGGATTTGTCTTGACACAGTCCTGACCCTAAACCGGCAATTCTGTCTCCCCAGCTGGTTGAACCCCAAAACTCTGGAGTTATCCTTGAGTGCAGTTCTCCCTCACATCCCCCTCCCTGATCGGAAATCCTGGCCTCGACTCGGATGGAACATTGCAATCTCCGAGTCCTGTCACCCTCCCCTCTCAGCCTTCTGCCACCACCAGGGAAGGTTCTGGTCTCTCCAGAATTCCAGTGCTTGACCTGGGCCCACCCAGAAAGTTCAGGGTGTCCTCCCTATCATAAAGTCTGTAGCCTCGAATTCACCCGCAAGTTCCGTTAACCTATTCGATGTTGATGTGATTTGTTCTCTGGAGGTCAGCGTCCTAGGCTGGCAGGGCTGCGTGGCCCCTGGGGTTCTAAGGAGAATCCACTTGCTCACGGTTCTGGCTCCCGATGCGGCCTGCTCGTGGTCCCTACCTCCACACTCACAGCCAGCCCCGTGCAGCTCCTGGTCTCTCTCCCTGTCCTCTGCTTTCCTGTCACACACACACACACACACACACACACACACACACACCCCCGTCTGTGGCTGTCACCCTGCAGCCCCCCTCTTACCAGGACTTGGTGATTACACTGGGCTCACTGGGATAATCCAGGATAGTCTCCCATTACAAGATCCTTAATGCACCCGCATCTATCTGCAAAATCCCTTTTGCCCTGGAAAGGAACACATTCGCAGGTTCTGGGATTAGGATGTGGAATTGGGGGGGAGAAGGGGGGAGGCCTGTTTGGCGGATCCCGGGAGAAGCCGGTCTGGATCTTTCCTGGGGCTTGTGGAGCGGGAAGGGGAAGTCAGGAAGCTGAATAAGCAGGGGGGAGGGCTGCGAGCTCCACAGAGAGCCTGAGGAACCAGCCCGCCTGCCCGGCTCCTCTGCCCGGGGTGGGGGCGGGGGTGGGGGTGGAGGGGTAGGGGCGTCTGTTCCATCGGAGCCCTGGGCTGCCAGTTGGAATGAGAAATGAGCAGCAGTCTGGACTGAGGGCTGGGAACCCCTGGTCACTGGGGGCTCCCCCGGTGCCCACCAGCCGGCACCTCTGAGATGCGCTGCTCCCGGCTCTCTGGAACCCTAGACTGGGGGGGGGGGGGGGCTCAAGCCCCATCCCTGCGGGCGGGTGTGTGGAAGGTGCAAAATCACACACAGCTGCTCAGAGTTCCAGATGAGCTGCTTTTTTTTTTTTTTTTTTTTTTTTTTTTTTTTACACGTTCTGTTCCTAAAAGCTTTGCTTTGTTTTCCAAGGCTCATGTGACCGCTGCCCCCTCCCCCTCCCCACCCACCCACGCGGCCCGGGCGGGCGGGGGTGCGGCTGGGTTCCGCCTGGGAGGGATCAGCTGCTGGGCGGCAGCCACGTGACCCCCGTTCTGGTATAAATAGACGGCGCGCCGGGCTCGGCTCTGTCACTCGATCGCCTGCACCCACCGACATCACACGCCGGAAGCAGCCCCGAGCCGATCCCAGCCGATCCCGAGCCAGCGCCGTCGGAGCCGGTCCCGATCCAGAGCGGGTCCTGAGCCGATCCCCGAGCCGATCCTCGATCCGGATCCGATCCTCGATCCCGAGCAGATCCCGAGCCGGTCCCCAGCCAGCGCCGTCGGAGCCGGTCCCGAGTGAGCCCAGCCGCCCAGATGGAGCGTCCGCAGCCCGACAGGCAAGCGCTGGGCTGGGGACGGGGACGGGGACGGGGACGGGGACGGGACGGACCGGGCGCGGGGACCTGCCCTCCCTCCCCGCCCAGCCAGAGCCGGAGCCACACGCCGAGCCCCGGCCCGGGGTTGGGAGGAGGAGGATGGGCGCCGACCCTGTCCGCACCGTGAACAGCTGGAGGGGTGGACGGTGCCTCAGCTGCCCGCTCCCCGCAGGGACCTGGGCGACCCACGCAGTGCTGCCAGGTGCCCGGCTGCGCGGCTAGGATTTGCACTTTGGAGGGTGCTCGGCGGCGCCTCTGCCTGATGACCTGGGGTCCCCGGGGCCAAGCCCACCCTCCCCGGCCGCCAGACCTCGCTGTGGCCACCGTGGCCCCTTTCACAGCCCAGAGAGCAGCAGCCCCGGGGCGGCCGCCGGCAGGTGTCTGGCTGCGGTTTGCACTTTGGTCATCCGTCCGAGCGTGGCTCCTCCCTTCTCCCAAGGACTCGTCTGCACGCGGGGAACAGGGGTGTTTGCTTCTCCGAAGGGGTGTGGGTGGGAGAGAAAGGAGAAATGGCAATTCCGTGGAAAAGAAGTCCAGACAAACCACAGAAACTTATTTTATTTTTAGGGAAGCACTGCTGTACTCGGGCATTTTAACACAAGTGTTTTATAATGGGTATATCCTAGCGGGTAATGAGATTTGGACCTGAAATCTCCACAAAATAAATGAGTTCAATCTTCGCTCTAAAAGCGCCTCCGCGCAATCAGACCCGGAGTGCAGGGCTGACCCCGCCCTCTGCGGCTGCTTCCTGGTTGTGCGCCCCCTCCTCTCCCCCTTCCTTAGAGTGACAGCCGGATTTCCCCCTGGGTTTGGGGACCACAGTATAGTGCCTCCTCGAGATGGAAGAGTGTTGAGGGGCTTGCATCTTTTTTTTCTTTTTTCTTTTTTACATTTAAAAATTACTGATTGATTTTAGAGAGAGAGGAAGGCGGGAAGAGAGAGAGAAACATTGATTTGTTGTTCCACTTGTTTATGCATTCCTTGGTTGATTTCTTTTTTTTTTTTAAATCTTTCTCTTTTAAAAAAATATATTTTATTGATTTTGTACAGAGAGGAAGGGAGAGAGATAGAGAGTTAGAAACATCGATGGGAGCGAGTCATCGATCAGCTGCCTCTTGCACACCCCCTACTGGGGATATGCCCTGCAACCAAGGTACATGCCCTTGACCGGAATCGAACCCGGGACCCCTCAGTCCCCAAGCCGACGCTCTATCCATTGAGCCAAACCGGTCTCGGCTGGTTGATTCTTTTAAAAATATATATATTTTATTGATTTTTTACAGAGGGACAGGGAGTTAGAAACATCGATCAGCTGCCTCTTGCACACCCCCCCACTGGAGATGTGCGCACAACCTTGGTTGATTCTTGTGTGTGCCCTGACCATGGATCAAACCCACAACCCCACTGGCATACCCGGATGAGAGGCTACCCTGCCAGGACTATGGCCTGCATCTTAGGGCAGTTGGGAATGATGTGGCCTGTGGACTAGGTAGATGGGAGGCTGGACTTATTTCTGTGGAGAAGCCTGATAATGCTGACAGCTTTAGAAGGCCTGCCTACAGGCAAGGGGCACCCTCAGAGCTCGGGGTGCTCATATCCACCCTCTTACTCACCCTTCCTCTCCGCCCTCTGCAGCATGCCCCAGGATTTGTCAGAGGCCCTGAAGGAGGCCACCAAGGAGGTGCACACCCGGGCAGAGAATGCCGAGTTCATGCGGAACTTTCAGAAGGGCCAGGTGACTCGGGAAGGCTTTAAGGTATGTGTCCTGGGGGAGGGAGGTGTGACAGGTGTGGGTGTGCCCGAGGCTCGGCCAGGTGTTTCTGTAGGTCCGGGACCAGGGATGCTGAGGGACCAGATAGGAATGTCTTGAGAGGATCATTTTGTAGATGATGATGACACTGAGGCTCAGAGAGGGGAGGTGACTTACCCAAGGTCACACAGCGAATTCATAGCCTGCTACATCGTATTGTGGAGGAGCCGGGGCCAGTGGTGCCATCAACGGAGCACCTATTCCAAGCTGGGCGTTTACACACTTGGTATCTAATTTGTGCCTCAGCCCTGAAAAGGAAGAGAAGGAAGGGAAGGCTCAAAGAGGTTAAGTAATGAACGGACGGTCACACAGCCAGTAAACACATTAGAGAAGGCCAAAGGCAAGCCAAGGATGGTCTCATTTCAGAGCTTGTGTCCTGACTTAATGCTAATTTACCTCGAAGGCAAGGGGTAGTATGGGTTTGAGCCCTGGCCCCACCATTACCTTAAAAAAAAAAAGAAAAAAAAATATATATTTGATTTCTTACAGAGAGGAAGGGAGAGGGATAGAGAGTTAGAAACATCGATGGGAGAGAAACATCGATCAGCTGCCTCCTGCACACTCCCTAATGGGTATGTGCCCTCAACCAAGGTACAAGCCCTTGACCAGAATCGAACCTGGGACCCTTGAGTCTGCAGGCTGATGCTGTATCCACTGAGCCAAACCGGCTAGGGTTGAATTGGGTTTTCTTAAGCACTCCTTTTATGCTAGTCACCGACTTTACTGTTTCTCAGCATCGTTGTGCAATTCATGCAAATAGGACGCTCTTGACAGAGAACCAGACAAGGGCCTAGTGTTAAAGCATCAGCACGAGGAAGGGCTTGTTCAGGCTGCACACAGAGGGCAGGGAGCTTTATCCCGCCACTCCTGGCTCCTCTCCCTTTCCCAGCCTGGGCCTTCTCCCACTCCCAGCCTCAGGTGCTCCAGCGAAGGGGGATGTAACAAGCGCTTGTAAGTGGGGTGGAGCCTTTGCCTACACCCTGTCCTGTGGGTGCTGGCTCTAGCCCTTGTTCCCTCTTCATCTTCCTCTTTCCCCTCAAAGAGATGACTTTCACCCAGTTGCTGTTAAGTGGCAGTGGCAGCAGGGAAGCAGGGAGTGGCTGCTGGAATGCCCCATCTGAAGCCCAGCCTCTCCTCCCAGATGGGAGATTTGGATTTTCCCGCTAAGCCACTGAGTTCAGAGTGGGCAGGAAGTCTGTGAGAGTGGGCGCTTAGATTATGCGGAAGGCGGTGGCATTCATCACGGCCTCTGATTCAGGGCTTGAGTGCCAGGCTGTGCCCAGTGCTTTACCTGTGTCATCCTGCTCGATAGTTTAGGAATATTCCCTTTGCAATCCCTCAGACCTCAGATCTCCCAGCGAGGGAGCGTGGCTCACCCATGGCCACACAGCTGGAGTGTTATGTGTAACAGGAATTCCCCAGCCCAGCAGCCGGAGGTGGTGGGGTTCAGCGGTGGGCCGCCAGGAGAGGGAATGGGGCCCTGCAGCCGGCCACCCAGAGGTCAAAGTAGAGGCACCTGTGTCCCTTGCAAGCGCTTTCATTGAGGCACCCCCTTGCTCAGAGCCACCATGGCTTCCTAGCAGCAACTGGGCTTGATTCCAGCGCCATTTCTTACCGGCTGTGCAACCTCCCACATCTCCTACCCCCCTGAGCCTTGGTTTGCTTTTCTGTAAAATGGGGATGCAGCCCCTATGTTTTTGTGAGGATTAAGTTAGGCCACGTGTATACCCTGTGGGGTAAAAAGGCTTTAGGCCATCAGTTTTTCTTTTTAAAATATATTTTTATTGATTTTTTTTTTTTTTTTTTTTTACAAAGAGGAAGGGAGAGAGATAGTTAGAAACATCCATGAGAGAAAATCTTGCACGCCCCCTACTGGGGATGTGCCTGCAACCAAGGTACATGCTCTTGACCGGAATCGAACCGGGGGGCCCTTCAGTCCGCAGGCTGACGCTCTATCCACTGAGCCTAACCAGTTTCGGCTGTGCCATCAGTTGTTTGTGTGTGATCAGTGTGGGGAGGTCGGAGGGGCTGACGGAGGAGGGAGCCCAGCCTGGGGAGGGGATGGGGGCTGCTGTCGGGAAGAGGGTCCTGACCTGCTCTCTCTGGTTTCAGCTGGTGATGGCCTCCCTGTATCACATCTACAAGGCCCTGGAGGAGGAGATTGAGCGCAACAAGGCAAACCCGGTCTACGCGCCCCTCTACTTCCCCGAGGAGCTGCACCGCCGGGCGGCCCTGGAGCAGGACCTGACCTTCTGGTACGGGCCCCGCTGGCAGGAGGCCATCCCCTACACACAGGCCACCCGGCGCTACGCGCAGCGGCTCCACGAGGTGGGGCGCGGGCAGCCCGAGCTGCTGGTGGCCCACGCCTACACCCGCTACCTGGGCGACCTGTCAGGGGGCCAGGTGCTCAAGAAGATTGCCCAGAAGACCCTGGATCTGCCCAGCTCCGGCGAGGGCCTGGCCTTCTTCACCTTCCCCAACATCGACAGCGCCACCAAGTTCAAGCAGCTGTACCGCTCCCGCATGAACTCCCTGGAGATGACCCCCGAGGTCAAGGGGAGGATCATCGAAGAGGCCAAGACGGCCTTCCTGCTCAACATTCAGGTGAGGGTCTGGCAGCCTGGGCTGGACTCCAGTTTGTTGTTCCTCTGTTATATCGGAGGCGGGAGGTGGGGGGAGGATTAGGGGGCGAGATTTGGGAGGGCAGAAGCCTGGGTTCTAGTTCTGCTAGGGGATCTTAGGCCAGTTTCCCCGTCTGTAAATGAGTTGGGTCATGGTGCCTGCCTCCTAGAGCTGTGAGGGTTAAATGAGTTTATAGCAGTAAAGTCGCCATAGTGGGGCCTAGCACAGGGGCGGCCCTCTGGTGTTAGCTGCTGTTCTCGTGGGGCATAGGCATCACAGTAGGATTGACGACATTCAAGCTGTGTGTGCACCTGAGCATTGCCAGGTGGGCACTGCAGAGGGTGTAGGTGCCCCAGATGAGGCCTCTGACCGGGGGCCTCTCTGCCCAGCTAGGAAGTGCCTCCAGTCCCGGGCACTTTGAGGAAAGCCTGGAAGGAGGGGTTCGTGGACAGAACTGAGGTGGAGGTGTGAGGTTCCTTCTAGCCTGGATGTTGTACAGTCCTGTCGCTCCCCTACCTGGAGGTGCTCTGCGGTCAGGACTCCTAGCTCATGGTCTCCTGGCTCCCCACTCCTTCCTTGCAGTCCCTCAGACAGCAACCCAAACCTGGTCGGTGGATCCTCCAAGAAAATCCATGGCTCTCAGAGAGATGGAGAAGGATGGAGTTTTGAGCCAAAGGCCCATTGGAGGGCTGGCTCTTGCTCCCTGACCCCTGGTTAGCCTGGGTCCGAGCACTTAACCTGGAGGAGCTGCGGCTTCCTCATCGCAAACCCCGGCTCACGGATACCCCCCCCCCCCCTTGAAACCAGCTTTCCCAGGGGGACTCCCAGAGTCATGAGGAAAGCAGGCGGCATAGACTCGGTACCACTCACGAAACGGAGCTCTGCATATAGAGACACTAAGGCCAGGAATGGCGACAGCGAACCCTCAGTCCGGGGTGGGTATTGGGGAGCGTTTGGAGAAGAGCAGGCAGGCAAGCGAGTCACGTGCACTTGTAACATCTTATCTCTTAAGCTGGACGAAAGGTACAGGAACAGTCCATGTTCTCCTTAGGGGCTTTGTCCTAAATATTTCATAGCAAGATGCCCATCCCCCGGGAGCTGGGCCCGTGCCGCCCTCACTGACACTGACTTCTGCCTTCCAGCTGTTTGAGGAGCTGCAGGAGCTACTGCCCCAGGACGTGGAGGACCAGAGCCCTTCGCAGCCGGGCCTTCGCCGGCGGGCGGGCAGCGGGACACCAGGTGAGGGCCTCCGGACGGCGGCGTCGCCTCTGGCCTCCAGCACCGCTCCACTCCTCTGTCTTCTGAACGTTCTAAATAAAAAATGGGGTGCAGGCCAGGGGGCAAACGGTCAGCTTCGGTGCGTGACCCTGGGCATGCCGTGTAAGCGCCCCCCACCTCAGTTTCCCCATCCCTGAAACCAAGGGCAGTCGGGTTAGTCCTAGTGCATTGGTTCTGAAGTGGAGACTTGCACCCAGTGGACCCCCTGAAGTCAGGGGCAAAGCCTTCCTTTTTTTACTTTTATTTATTTTTAATATATTTCTTTATTGATTTCAGAGAGAAAGGGGAGAAGGAGAGAGAGAGATAGAAACATCAATGATGAGAAAGAATCATCGATCAGCTGCCTCCTGCATGTCCCCCACTGGGGACTGAGCCCGCAACCCAGGCTTGTGCCCCTGGCCGGAATCAAATCTGGGACCCTTGAGTCAGCAGGCTCTATCCACTGAGCCATGCCAGCTAGGGCAAAGCTTCCTGGATTTGGGTTCTTTTGAGGCCCTTGAATGATTCCTGAACAGAGACCCCAGATGTGGGGCGGGGAGTCTGCAGCCATTCCCAGCTGTCACCCTGCCATGGATACTAGGAAGACACATAACCTTGGGATCTTGCTGCGTGTTAAGTCCCTCCCTCGTATGCCTCAGAGGCCGAGGTGAAGCTCACCACCTGCTTGGTGCCACCCTAACCCCCCTTCCCTGTGGCTTTTCCGCCTGCACCAGGACCACGTGGCCCCCTGTGGGAACATGGCCAGTCCCTATGGGATGGGCTGCCTGTTGGGATGAGGTGACATTGCCTTTATGCACCAGTTCTCAAAGTGTGCGTCCTTGGAGTACCCCCGGGGGGGCCTGGTCTCACAGTGTGAGCTGGTTGAAAGGCAGTAGCAGACAGCCTGGACAAGTAGTGAGCTCCCTGTCTTTGGAGGTATTCAAGCAGTGGCTAGAGGGCCACTTGTTTGTGTTCTAGCAGAATCCTGGCATTGGGGTGGGGGGGTGGACTGGATTGGAGGCTGCTGACACCCCTCTGCTGTGTTCCTGTGAGCTCAGACACCCCACCTCTGTCCACCTGTTGTTGACATATGGGACCCCCTTTCTCTTTCAGCCTCCACGCCCACGGAGACCCCCAGAGGAAAGTCCAGTGTGTTCTCCCAGGCACCCCTCATCCGATGGGTCCTCACACTCAGCTTTCTGGTGGCAACGGTTGCCATGGGGCTTTACGCCATGTGAGCGCAATGTGTCGGCTCCTGGGCCGTGGACTCTCTTTCTAGAGAAGGCAGATCCCGAGGGCATGGGGAGCTGTATCCGTTCCTCCCGTGCCCCCATGCCCCCCTCTCTTTGGCAAGGAGGAAGGAGTCGGCGCCGTCTTCCCAACCAAAAGCACATCCAGCCGATGACCCGAACCTCCATACGGACCGAGGGGTCCTGCTGGGCCCTCGGACACCCCCTTCCCCCTCCCCGTTCCTGCAGCAGAGCCCAGAAGACGTGGCCAGAAGAAGTAGCAACCGCCCCAACCTCCAAGGCCCCGGGCTCACGGTCTGCTTGACGTGCCTGACCCTGACCGTGCCCCGTGGGCCCTTTTCACATACGTGTGCCAGGATGTTGTGTCTTTGTCTTGTTTTTGTTGGAGCTGCTTTGTGTTCCCAGCTCAGCCTGCCTGTGGTATTTTGTTGTGTTCCGTTATAATAGCAGGGTTGGGGTGGGTTTGGGGGAGAGAAGGGGGGGTTGGGGGAGGGGTTTAACAAGACTGTGGCCTTGGTCTCTAACTTTGTGGAATAATAAACTGCATTTCTGAGAGTACCCTGAAGTGTTGTTCTTGGGCTCTGTGCCCCTGGCAACGGCCCTTTCCCTCACTTGTGCCTTAAACGGTGGGCTGCAGGGATGGAGGTGCGGGGGCATGGCTGGCTGGGTGTTTTCTGTCCTGAGAACAGTGTTGGTGGGTGAGCTTCAAGCAAGTGGTTGGCAACTCTTGGTGGGGAATCCTACTTGAGGCAAGGCTCCCCTGGATGGAGGAGGGGTTTGCCTGCCCTCTCAGGCTGACATGCTGACCTGAGCGGGTTCTGGGATACAACCCGAGTCTTGTGCCGTGAATCTTAGGGACCAGGCGAGACCCCTGGGTTGAAGTCCCTGTGACTCTGCCCCCTAGCTCTGCCTTTAAGGTTAGTCATGAACCTTTCCGAGGGCTCCGCTCTGTTACCTGTAGCATGATACCAGTGAGGCCTCACCTGCCCGTCTTGAGAGCAAATGGGATGCATGTAACATGCCAACAATGTGCGTGATGAAACGAGGGCAGCCAGGGTTTTGAGTTGTTGCTAAGTGAGGCTTGTACTGCCCGCCACCTCACCTTTGTCATCTCATTGAATTCGCATAGGAAATCAGGAGAGCTACCACGCTCTGAGGGCTAGGAAGGTTTTAAGCCCTGTCTGCCCAGCTCCATCCATAACCCAAGTCTTTCCCTAAGTCCCCAAAACCACTGGAATATTAATATGCAGCCCCCCATCTGGGAGAGGGGAAGCCTTTTGCTGGAGGGGTCTGGGAGCGCAGGGGACAAGGGACTCCACTGGTTTGGCTCAGTGGGTAGAGTGACAGTCTGTGGACTGAAGGGTCCGGAGTTTGATACCAGTCAGGGACACATGCCTGGGTTGTGTGTGTGTGTACAGGAGGCAGCTGATTAATGATTCTCTCATCATTGATGTTCCTCCCTCTCCCTCTCTGAAATCGATAAGAGTAAACCAATCAATCGGTAAATAAGAAACCAGCACGTGAGGACTGGGAACTAGCAGGTCCCAGCCTGGAACTTTGGAGAAATCACTTCAAGTCTCCTTTTGTTCACTGGCAAAATAATAACACACCTCCCTCCCACGGCTGTGGGAGGGCCCGGCGTGTCCTAACGCCAGTCTGGACGGTGGCATCAGAACCCTCCCCATGCATGGGGGAACCCTGGCCCCACCCTGGGAGGCTCTGATTTTGGAAATGGGTCAGGCTGGTGTCTGTTTATGACAAGCTCCCCGGGAGATTCCCAAGGGCAACCAGGCCCAGTAGCCACTGCTTGTTGTGAGAAGTGCATGTAAGTGGTAGGTACCCACGGATGGAGCCTCCGGTTTTCTGTGAAGGGCATGGGCATTCATTGTTTGTAGTGACAAAGACAGGAAGTGAGGGCGGAGAGAAACCACCTGGGACTGTACTAATGGGGGAATGGCTGGAAATCTGCCTTCTGTTCACATTATGGGAAAGTCAGTAGCTCTTAACTAGAATGAGTTCCATTTCTTTTTTTTTCCCTTTAAAAAATATATTTTATTGATATTTTATAGAGAGGAATGGACATACATGCCCTTGACTGGAATCAAACCTGGGAACCTTGAATCCATAGGCTGAAGCTCTATTCACTGAACTGGTTAGGGCTTGAGTTCCATTTCTGTGTCCACTCAGAGGGGCTTCCATGAAGTGTCAGTGAGAAAAGCCTGTTTCAGTCTACGGCCATACCACCCTGAACGCGCCCGATCTCGTCTGATCTCGGAAGCTAAGCAGGGTCGGGCCTGGTTAGTACTTGGATGGGAGAAAAGCCTGTTTCAAATTCGTTTTACACACACACACACACACACACACACACACACACACACACACATATTGATTTCAGAGAGGAAGGGAGAGGGAGAGCAAGGTAGAAACATCAATTATGAGAATCATTAATCAGCTGCCTCCTGGATGCCCCCTACTGGGGATTGAGCCCATACACAGGCATGTGCCCCTGACTGGAACTGAACCTGGGACCCTTCAATCCACAGGCCAACGCTCTATCCATGGAACCAAACCCGCCAGGGTTGGTTTGATATATTTTCTTATACACTGTAAAAATACACAGTTTAAACACTACCCATAAGTATATGTTTGTGTGAACGTGGCAAAGAAAAAAGTTATTCCCAGTTCATGTTGGGGGATGGAAATGAAAAATGGGGCAGATTATGCAGCCCTTGTTGCTGCTGGAGCATGTGTCCATTTTTGCCAAATCTTCCTATTTTTCAAACTTGGTTGTGAATCTGATCGTGAATTTTCTCAAATGTTAAGCACCTCCAAATAATTTAGAATCTTCAATTTAAAATGAAACAAAACAAAATACCATCTGAGTGTATGAAACCGTTGAGTCCCCAAATCGGATGACTCTGGTCTCAGATGCGTGAGGGCAAGCATGTCAAACTCAAAAGCTAACATAGCCAAATAAATAAGTTTAAGTTTATGTGGACCGCAAAAAAAAAAAAGCTTTAATTTTCATACAAACGTGGGCTTATTTCCATAGAGACTTGCTGAATACAAATGGCTGAAATGAGTCATTGTTAATAAGATAATAGGACCTTTTAATAAAAATTACTATTTTTTTTCTTGAACATTAACTTACAAGAAACTAAATAACCGCACATATTAATAAGCTTAACGCAAGTAAACCTATTTCTCTTGTTCTCAAAAGTGAAATATTGCCAGTTGTGCACACCAAACAAGTCAGTCCAAGACTAATGTGACGTGGCAATTGGCGGTTAAAATATTCTCTGCTGGTATTAGTGGAGAGAAATGGTGTGCTTGCATGTAAGGCGAGTAAAGGAAGTGAAATGCAACATGATTATAGTAATCAGTGGTTCGTGAACGCTGTAGTTCATTACTAATAATTATGTATAACAGGATCTTGTCAAAATTAAGTTACAGAATTTTCATCGAAACAATTCTTTAATATCATTATATTGGCTAGGCCACAAAAACATTCATTGTTGACAATCTTGCGGTAAGGAGACCGGAGGTGGCCAGTCCAATGACCACTTGGGAGGAGAGTGTCAGATGAGAATAGGGAGCAGGTGTGAGGTGTGAAATGTGCGGGGCCCAGCCCCAGGGCAAACGGACTCCCACAGCGGGTGTGTAATTCTCTGGGACCTACACCTCCCAACCCTGGGTTCACCCACCCCATGGCTCTGAAAGGGGACTCTTTCTTTCTTTAAAATATGTTTTGATTGACTTTAGAGCAGAAGGGAGCAGGAGAGGTCAAAACATCAATGATGAAAGAGAATTATTGATCGTTTGCATCCTGAACACTCCCTATTGGGGATCGAGCTTCCAACCTGGGCAAGTGCCCTGAACAGGAATCTTAACCAAGACCTCCTGAGCTCAGAGACTTTTATTTATTTTTACTTATTTTAATATATTTTATTGATTTCTTTACAGAGAGGAAGGAGAAGGACAGAGAGTCAGAAACATCGATGAGAAAGAAACATCGATCTGCACACCCCTGCACACCCCCTATTGGGGATGTGCCCGCAACCAAAGTACAAGCCCTTTATGGGAATCGAACCCGGGACTCTTCAGTCCGCAGGCCTACGCTCTATCCACTGAGCCAAACCGGGTAGGACACTTTTATTTATTTTCAATTTTTTTTCCTCTGTGCCATTGAGTGACAGCTACCTCTGACACCCTCCCAGGACGAGGATGCACTGTCAGCACCAGCTACCGAACCCTGGCCCCCTGCCTGGCGCGGGCCTCAGAGGCTTTTAGAAAGGCCGGGCACAGTCCAGGAAGCCGCGGCACAGCACCCGGGGCCCCGAGGCCCGCCCCGCCGCCATCTCTGCGCCCCTCCCGCTCGCCCCGCCCATCGCCCCGCCCCCCACTCAGAAATTTCGCGCCAAATTGCGGGTCGACAAAATGGAGCCCGGAAAAGGGCCCGGAAGCCTGACGTCATGAGCCCCGAAGCCAATAGCCTAGGGATGCCGGTCCGGGAGGCGGGGCTAGGGGGGCGCAGAGTGGCCCAATCGGTGGCCGCGGAGCCCAGGCCAGCCAATGGGGACGCGGCGACCGCGGCGTGCGAACTCGGCGTCTAGCTTTTCCCCGCGAAACTCTGTGGTGGAGCTCGGGTGTGCTGGTCTCTCCGAGTTCGTGGGGTGCAGGAAAGGAGAGGTGAGGCCGGGGGGGACTGGCTAGGGGGGCCCGGGAGCTGGCCCACGGGGGGTCCGCAGGGGACTGCAGTGGGGGTGGGCAGTGGTTTCTCCCGGGAGGCCCGGGGTCGGGATCCGGGAGGGGGAGGGGAACCAGGGTCCGGGCCCTCCCCTCCCCCCCACCGCCCTGAGTGGGAGCCGGGGCACCCCGCCCCGCGTTCGGAGCCGAGACCCCTGACCCCTGACCCCTGACCCCAGGTGCAGGCATGTCGGGCTTCGACGACCCCGGCGTTTTCTACAGCGACAGCTTCGGGGGGGACC